AGGTCTGAATGAGACGTTCCACAAATGTCCCAACTGCAAAAACTCGTAATTCTGCAAACAATATGTGAATCTCACAAAGTTTTCACATTCATCTGATGGCCAAGAAACAAACTGAGACGTGGCACTAAGTTTTTCCAAGTTCCTGTGCGCTGCAGACTAAAATAATGAGCCACGTAGCGGAACTAGGATCCATGGCTCGGCTACTGTCAAGTTTCTGCATGGCGAAACCAGATAATGAGATTAAATTTCTGTGTTCCTAACAGGAAATGAATTACTGGCCCCATCTAGCGCAAAGACGAGGCGACGTATTGCTAGAAGCGCTGAATATCGAACTCTTAAGGCTGATTTGTGTTCAAACACAAAACTACTGAGTCCACCTTCAACACTGACACATAAGAACTTCGGCTTACACCATTAACAGGATGGAGAATATTACATAATGAAGAACTTCAACTTTCACTTGTCACCAAGCCGTTATTAAGCACGCGCGGGAACGATAAGAAATTCAGCACGAATTTTAGTCAGAAAACCCGAAGGGAGGAAACCACCCGGGAGATGCCGGCATTTTAAAGAAACAGCGTAAAGTATCTACGGGCGTTCCTAACCTCAAACAAAATTTTATCTCAGTTCTCAATAATGGTTCGTCACAGGAATAAAGGAAGGGGAAAATGATTCACACTTTGGTAAGCAGATCGCCAAGAGGTCACACGTCATTCGTCTTCAATCGAAATTACAAACCCAACCGACACTCCCAAATGCACACATTCTGACAAGTGTCCGGGTCCAACACACAGCAAACAACTTTTGAAAGCGTCTTATTTCCAGGTTCGAAAAAGAGACCTAGTCATCAGATCCATTATAAAGAAATGTGAAGCAGCTCGCAGGAGCGCGTCACGAGACGGACCAGTTTCCGAGGCCCCACGAAAAACAATCTCCTAACTCTGGTGGAGCACAGGTGCAGTTTCACTTACCTTCACTGGTCAGCATTTTCCGTGATTTTTCACATTTTCCTTGGGGTGAAGGACGACAAACTTCTTTATTCCTATAAGACATTTTCTTTTCTGGTTTTACTTCTCAAAAGCATAACAACCTTCATTAGACCCTTCTCCTACTGAATTCTCTCCCCACTTATCATCGTATCAGGTCTGTACCTGCAAAGTGCAAACACAGGTCAGATACTCGAAAAACACGAAGTTTCTTCACCATTTCTCAATTATTAAGCAGAGCACTGAAGCTGAAAAGATCACAAAATTTCCTTCCCTAACAAATTTACATTTCGGACAGGCTCCTCAATCAAACATTTTCTGCCATCGTCTGTTTTCTTGGTGTCCATAAAAACAGCTTGAACTCTCTCCCATCAACACGAGAATTAAATTATCTCACCCTCAGTTTTACGTTACATCACAAAAATGATTTGCCTGAAAACCAGGCATTTGCGCCTCAGACGCAGCGAGCACAGCGACGACATTTCTTCCAAGGTGAAGGATGTTTGGCGCGGCGTCGTCAATCGGGCGACAAGAGGATTCTCGTCAGAGGCCGCGCAATTATCGCAACACACACAAGTTCAATGAACCAGAATGGCTACAGGCTCGTAACCGCTTGCTCCAAATCTAATTTCACTGTACAACAAACAAAATCACTAGGGAGGTCCAACTGTAGATGGGAGAATAATATTAAAAAGGATCTGCAAGGAGGGGGTGTGAAGGTAACAGAAATTTACACCAGACGAGCAACTACTGGCTATTCAAGAACCCAGACACTTGGTGTTATTACCAACACAAAAATAGACCGAACAAAAACCAAGAAAAGTTTTCTGCGCAACAAACAGAGTATCGACGTTGTACCAATGCTCAGTCTCAACAAGTGTCGGAATTTATCATTCAGGCCGACGGCCTGACCTGTCCAATGACCACAGAGTTTCGACCAAACCACGAGACGACTAACTCGACAGGACGCTCGCTTTGAAGTGCCGACCAATAAGCCGTTCTCCTCTGCTTCCCTAGGAACAGATGACATATCTCGCGGCGATCGGAGCTGATCGCCCCAAACTACTTAGAGTATGTCACGGACTTTGCGGCAACTGACTACGAACGCCAAACGACTCCAAGGTGAGCGAGGCACGACAACTTGCGCTAACACATCAATACAAAATGAGTAAAACGCTAATAAAATGGAGCCACGGTCAATCACGCCATCAAAGAGACGGCTTCTAATTTTCATCTTTAGCAACGTCCAAATTTGTGCACAAGTTACCTGTTCCAATTTTAAAATAGTACAAAAGTGAGTGCGGTTGAAGTGAATTCATCCGGTTCTTTTGATGACAGCAATGAAAACAGAAGAACGTCTTGATCAGCTGAGCAAATATCAGCTGTCATGTAGATCTCTGTTCCGTGGTATTTTGCACATTATATTTTAATCTCCCATTGCAAGAACGACATTCATTTAACAATAAGAATCTGAGAATGCAGACACATTCAGATTCCACATTTCTCCGCGTTACTCGTGGTATCCGATATCCTCTGCTTGGCTTCAGAGTCCGAAATCTTACACTGACAAACGTAGTTCTTCCACTCTTGCGCAATTAGAAAACCCATAATCATGTAAATCCTGGCTACTGAAATTCTAAAAACTGCTACATAAAAAATCTGCACATGGAATCTGTGATCCTCACGTGCATAAACACAGTCAACGACTTCCAATGGCTCGCAAGCCGTCGCCCAGAACACTTTTGTTTATGTACAAAACTTGATAATGTTAGCCGATCGGTTCAGTTTCTCGGTAGAGCCATTCTAAAGCCTCGTGGTGGCCCATCTTCTTAAGGAGCGGACCCACAACCTCACGGCATCGGCCGTGATATTCATTCAAATGTTTGATCTGCAAATCAAAAAAATAATTCCGATCAGCAACCGGACTGTACGAAGATTTCCTGCAGCTGAATATATTGCGGTGCCTGGCGACCACTTGGTACAGACAGGAGCGCAAACCCCGATTCTTTAAAACATTCATAAAAAGGATAAAATTTTGTCAAATAACCGCAGTCAAAACTCTTGGTGGCAATTATGAATGCGCTGTGTTTTAAAACACCAAAATGTGTCGCTGCGTACTAGCCACGAGTCCTCATAAAATGGCGGCATCGCTTCGATACCTGCTCGGTACTAACGACTTGAACTGGTCGATGTTTCCAGATCACGTGGACCCACGGCTATTCTGCGTTAATATCGCTACGTTTACTGCGGCACTTACCTCGTTTTCGGTGAGGATTTCGGGCACCAACATTTTTGTCTGGATTGGAACCAACGATACTTTCTCAAAAGTAAGGAAAGTTCGGTTTTTGAACGTGTAAGGTGGCTTGGCTGCAACCACTCGCACAATGTCTTCTATGCGACAGCCAAATTTTCCGTCTTCGTAATACCCAGGTTCTGGATTTGAGACAAATTACGTTGTGTAACACTTACTACAATTTGCTGTCAAGATAAATAAGGATTAGTGACTCTCATTTTAAGAAGACGACAAACCCCTTTTTAAAACGCTGTATTCTTGTCGTTTCATGACATCACTGAAACCAAAGTCAAACCAAACGCCCAATTTCTTACCATCTGAAATGAACATTCCTTCCTGAAGACCAGGGTCATTTGGATAGACCTTCCATGAAACTCCCATAGGTCCCTCATGCACGTTCAGGTACATTCCAATGCCGTGACCAGTTCCATGCATGTAGTCTAGTCCTACATCCCACAGGAACTTCCTAGCCAAGGAGTCCAGACAGTTTCCCTGAAACAGCGCGCGCACATCACAACTCACTGATGCACGGAAACAAATCTGCTCTTCGCGTGCAAAGGAAGAGAAAAGTGTTACAGAACTTTGTTTGCAACCTGTAACATTCATTTAGAACAAAGAAGTGTAGCGCAGTAATTGTCAGACATTCTTGTTGCACAAGCAGACTCCGAAGTTTAAATTTACCAGATTGCACGTATATATGAAAAGATGGTGACCATGCACGGAGGGCTACTCGATGCACTGCGAGGGCACACCCCATTACAAATTAAAAACTTATGGGAACTCCATTTCCCTCTTGCCTTAAATCCACAGAAGACGTCTGCAATTTACCTTGGTCTTTGATGGGAAGAGAGTCGTAGCAAAGAAGCACTGTCCTTTAAAAACTCGTGTGAAGCACTCCTTCTCATACTGCGAAGGCGTTCCAAGATGGATGGTTCTCGTGATATCCGTGGTACCGTCCCTAAGACAAACAAGTCATCATTTCACTCTGTCTAATTAATCTCCTTCGTCACCTATAGGCTGTAGCGTAATTTTCCAATTACATTCAATTTTATGCAAGTTCCTTCAGCCTTGATGCACTGAATTGCATTCGTTGGTTAACACCACCTATGAATCAGACCAGGGACAGAGACTAGTGTCAGTAGAAAGGGGTGTCAACAGGCGTGACCTTGAGCTCATGCCCCGACCACAATGATTATGTCAGCGAGTTTCAAATAATCCAACAAAATTTAAAAAACGTAGTGTAGGTCCACCACACAAGCTTGACAGGTACTCCGAACCCTGTTACATGCAAAAGATGGTTTCTGAAACGCACTTTTAAATAGGACACGTTCGTGTAACATCGACTTACTTGTACTGACCACCAGAATCACACAGGTACACTTCGTGCGTCGTTATCTGTGCATCTGTCTCTGCGGACGGCGCATAGTGAACGATAGCAGCATGAGGTCCCACGGACGATATAGTCGCAAAACTCGGACCCACAAAGTCTTCTTGTTCCCTGGCAAAAGCACAAGACTGCTTCACTTCTCCTCAACCGTCTACACGATTCTGATTCTTGAGGTCGCTTATATTGGGTAAGAAATTTAACGAGACCTCTGACCTTAGGCGGTGGTCTTACACACACGTGACACAAAACTGGCACATTTAGAAAAACACATACCAACCTGGTATCAAGTGCGTCCTCCTAAGATGCACGTGGTTCTTGAAATCCAAGTGATGAACACTTACCTCCTGAACTGTTCGAGCTTCTCTGCGCCCGAGCACTCGGTAACAACGCCCTTCACAACCTCCTTCTCAAGCCACGCAAAGTAGCAGCAGACGGCCGCAGCGTCCCGAATGTGGGCATTGACCATACCTGCGCAGCATCAACATTAGTCAACACAACAACCAGACCCAGTCCGTTGTCAGGTGGACAGGAAGTTGCTGGGTCTGAATCTACTTCCTGTAAACGGTAGGATAATTACAATCGCGGAAAGGAACATCTAATGGGAGCGGAAACTTAAACAGTAAATTATTCATGAATAGTCTCCACTACAAAACACAATTCTCCACAGAATCGTTAGTCGATCTTCATCTTCTACTCTTTGCTGTCGCTAACATTATAATCAATAGCATTGGTCCCCAAAATTACTACTCAACAAATCCTTCCTTTTAGAAACAGCAAACATAAAAATCATCTTTCAGAATTTTTCTTTTGCGTGCTTGTCTCTCTCCTTACAGATACCTACTCTTCTGGCACAAAATTTCATAAATCACTTCTATTTCGAAAGGACAGAAGTCTGACTCACACCACGGCTAATCCACACGAACGCATCACACTGACTGCGGTCAGCAGCTTTTTGTGCGGTTCATTCCGGAAGCGCCGGCAATCTGCCGAACCAGTCAAACACTTAACGCTGTGGGAGACAAAATTCACGCCCTTTTGCTTCTTTCTTAGGACAAAGCTAACGTCAATGCCTCGTTTCACTGAATTGAAAAACACGCGCAGAATACGCCTTGTTACAACAAACCATCGAGCGTCATCTCGCGGAGTCTATGTAAAACAGATATTGATGAAATGCATGAAAATATAATTACAAAAGCAAAAAGTCAAAGCCAAATTTCAAAACCTCTTGTTTAAGGTTTCATTTTTTACCTTGGATTTCAACAGCGTTCTTTATAGCCTTCATGACAGCGATAGGCGTCACCTCTCCTACGCGGATCTTCTCTGGAACAACTGCTGAGAGAGTGTAGCTGGAGTCTGGACTGACCCAAATTTTTCCGTTTTGGCCTGTAATCTACAAAAGATCCTGGGTCGATAGTCAGACCGACTTTGCGATCGGGCAAAGTGGCCAGAACGCAAACCTGATGAGTCACTTCCTTCAAAGTGCCACAGTTTTACTTTCAAGAATTAAAATATTTAACGCTGTACGTCACAAAGTACGCAACATATCACGTCTTACCTGATCAGTAAGAAATGACTGTAGCTTCTCGTACGGACGAATAACAACTTGCAAGTTTTCTTCGTTGAAGTGGTTATAGACCGCCGGCGTGAGTTTTGCTTCATCGACAAAGAAGTGAACTTCGCTCATGGAGACAACCACGTAAGCAAAGAAGACCGGGTTGTACGCGATGTCTGAGCCCCTCAAATTGAGTAGCCCTGCAACATAAAATTGGCATTCTGCATCTCCACTGACCGTTGTTCTAATGATCTAAATAATGGGACACTGCAACTGTTTTAACAAATGAAGCACAAACTTTGCTGCAGATACAAGGACGAACGCACGCCCAAACATGAAATGGTTCACTCACAGGCAATTTCATCGAGGGCAGAGACCACCAGGAGCCTTGCTTCCTTTTCCTTCATTTCAGCTCGTACCTCATTCACTTTGGCGTTGCTTGTTTTGCCTGAAATCAAAGAGAAATAATTGCACCTCCTCAAATTAACAAGAGAAATTACGAGCGGCCCTTTCCAGAAATCGGACATCGGACTAAATACGTGACTTAACACTTTATTTATGAATGGAGGTTTCAGTCGCTCGGACTGCGCGGCGGAGAACAACAGGCTCAGTGAATAATGAATTTGAAAGTCTAAAGGCTTCTGATGTTGCAAAAAGCTTGAACGCTATTTTGGACATTGCCCATCGTCTTGGCCATCTATTAGAAAGAGCACACATCATTTTGGAGACCGAATCTGCCTCCATCATGGACACCAGACCGTGATTTTTGTGCATTGTATGCATCCCACCATTTATGCTGACAAGATTCTCGGTCTCGCTTCTACGAGGGATACGTTCAGACAGACCACTGCCTCGCCTGGCATCCTTCCCAAAAAGTCCAGAGTTGATACAGCATCATGAAATAATATTAAAAATTATCTTCAAATAAATTCAAGAACTCGCACTGCTTACCCGAGTACTTGACAGACAGAGGCTGTATAATGTTGCATGGGGCAGGTGGCCTGTCCTCCCAGATGAGGTCGATGAGGTTCGGGGTAATGGGAACCAGGGCGAGACCCGCCACCTGCAGCTGCGTCTGGAGAGGTTTCCACGCGCTATACGACACGAGGTCTGGGTCCGCACCGACGCGAGATCCTGAAGGCAAGGCTTTGACCAGCCACGCCGCCTGTGTTGGGGTGCTAGAGACGCCTAAAGTGACAGAGTTTCAGAGCAACAGAACAGTCGGAGGTTAAAGAGGTTCGTGTGTGGCCCTGAAAATATTACTAACACTTATGGCAAGCTTTTTGAAAGTCTGACGTGTCCTAACTGAATAGTAACAGAAGCAAACAATTTATAATGACTGAAAAGGCCAGTTCAGGGACTGACAAGTCCGTACTTTCCAACTTCCCTATATTTATTAAATTCTCCCGCCAGTAAGGCGAAAGGACACTCAAATTCCATTCACATCCACACATTAATCTGACTGGTCTGTCGTCTGTACTCTTGAAACAATCTAAAGTTTGTTAATTCATTTTAACATTGATGACTCTGATTACAATAAATAAATAAAATTCCACTTCTGTTCTTACACTACCACTACACTCTCTTTAAATGTCCACAAAACAAGACATTCTTTAAAACAACTCTCACAGTAATTACGGTCTTTACGTCAAAAGACACTTTCAAACTCCGCACTGCCTCTTCATTAACCTCGTTAATAAAGTATTTCTGTTCACCTTCTTTCATAAGGGTCCAGTCCTTGTCCATTTCTTCAGAAGCCTGCAGGAAGTACCGCCCATCTGTCCACATACACGCCTCATTTTCTGTGACGACCGCAGTTCCAGCAGAACCAGTGAAGCCAGAGATGTAAGCTCTTCGCTGGTCACAGTTGGCCAAGTACTCATTCTGTGGGACACAACAATAAGCGGGCCACACACTGTTAGTACCGTGCGGGCACGTGTCAAACAGAACAGAGGTTCGCAAGAAATTCAATCTGGTGAAGATCCCGAGAGAAAACACTTTCTTTCCACAGACATACGGTACTGGAAAAGTGGGTATGAGAAATGTTCTGTGACTGACTGATATATTATCAACTTACTTTCAAGCCAATGTGTATATCATTACATTTTCCAGAAGGCATTCAAAATGTTTAACAAACCTTTAATCCCTGCATATAGTTTTTTAAAATCACTGTCACTGGAAGACTTGAACTCTTCTGGTTAAGAAATGTATAAATGCTACTAAATTACAAGAGGTTTTAAAAATAAACCAATGATGTAATTTGTTACTAATTCACATGACTTTCTAAGAAACAAAGAGACATAAATAAGCTGGCAAATAACAGCATTTCAGTCAAAGCTATCAATATAATGTGTCTATTTCACAGTGCACGAATTCCAATGACATTCACTCCCACTTTCTCATTCCAGTGTCACTGTGCAAGTTAGTTTCATGTACGACATTCATTGTAGAGAGACCACCCATCATACCAGCATACTCCAGCAGCACCAAGCACACAATCTGGAAATGAGTTAGTTACAACGCAAAACGTCATTGCTGCATGCTAGTAGCTGGGTTCCAAGTTATGCGGGACTCAACAAACAAGCAAATTAATATTTATAGTAGCTTAAAACTTGTTGGAGGTGGGCATTAATGGGAACAAAAAGCAAACAGCTAAGATAAGATAAAACAGTTTTAAATTTGTGTTTACATTTTTTGAGACAGCAGCATGAAGCCAATTAACAGTGTCATAAAATACTGTCTTGTAAACAATTCATTCTAGCAGATACTTTAGGAACCCCTGACAGAGCAACTAACAGGTAGACAGACTATGATGATCAGTCTTATCTTAAATGCCTTACACTTCTTATCAAATCAGTGATAATAAGCCTTATATTTTCCACTTATCAAACTTACCTGGTGGGCATCTTCTGATGGAATAATATATGCTTGTAGAGGCTCGCTCACACATATAACATTTTTCATGGCCGACCTCAGCTTCTGAAGTCTCTTACTCAAATTGCTTGCACGAGACATTCTATCAATTTGATGTTTACTAAACCTGTAGCAGAAAAAGAAGATACAGAAACTGCATAAATGTGTTCACTGACACCTCATAACACAAACTGTAATATTTTCTTCCTTGAATATTTACCCCTGCTTCTTGCGAACTAGATTTAATATTATGATTTAATAAAAATAACTATAACAAAACACCGACACATTCTTCTGCTTACGACTTGCTGAACTACTGCCCCCTCCACATGTACAATTCTCAGATTGGAAAAAAATATAATTGTGCTGCCATCTTCTTGTAAGCGTCTATAGCTCAGTCAATAATAAGGTATGCTACTGTTTGGTCATCTCCTGTCCTTCCTACTTATATTTACTTTGGCGTTTCAATGAATAATTTTGAAACCAAAATATTTCTGGTAGGTTTAACTACAAGTGAATTTGCGTTTTTCTCATCCACAACTAGGCAACTTGTCCCTCTAAGTCTGACAAAGTATGGTCTCATAACCAAATAAGTAATTATATCTGAAAACATTTCTAAAATACTACAGCTGTGGCTTTTCTTGTCTCCACACATAATTTTTAACTGAAATTAAATATGAAAAAGGGGAAACAAAATTATTTTTTGTATGGGTTGCTTCTTGTGACTCTGCCAAGATATGGAATTTTAACAGAAGGCATTAATTGGCTTCAAGGTGGAAACAGTTGGTTCCCAAGCTCTCAAAGGCACAGACTTTGGAAAAGTTATTAACAATAATGCAACTGACACAACTGTACATGCATCAGAAAAAGTTTTACTCATTTTAAATAAAATATCATTGGTCACAGAACCTAAAGGATGTGATAAGCTCGAAAGAGGATGGTTTAGGGAATTACTGAATTGACGAGGTATACATACAAAATGAATTTAATAACAAAATACTGTACATCTGTAATGGCATGGTTTGAAACTATACATTATGAAACAGCTCAATATGAGCCACAGCATTATGGCCAACAATGTTATTTACATATGGAGTATTGTTGGATGACTGACATTAAAGAGTGGCCTTCAATTGTAAGCCCCAAGTGTGTTCTACAGCAGCATTCTTCAAACTTTCTTCACCTGTGGCACAACTTAATTTGTTAAAAACACATGACAGCACACCATAAAAATTCACCTCACAAAAAGGGGGTACAAAATTTTACATGGCCACAAATATGTATCTACATAAGTGCACACGAAAACAAAATACACATGTCAAATAAAATTATTAATGATGAAGCAGTGTGCGTGTTAATTACATATATGAACCGATAGAAACTTTTGTAAAAAGGAAATAAACCCTATGTTATGTGTGAATATCTTAAACTATAATATTTAACCGCTTGATCACAAATAAACTTTTGTTATAACAGATACCAGAAAGTTGTGTTTTAGTGTGTCTAATGTCCTCTAAGTTTTAAGGTTATGTATGTAACTTCGAAATTTGCTGCCTAAGTAACGGCTGACTATGCACAGAAATGGTCTCCACTTTCAGTCAATTTCCGAAGTCACCTTCAAAATACCTGATATTATGGAGAGATTATATTCCCAATATGAACATAACAATGCTTACAACTTCCTAAAATGAAACCTCCTTTAGAGCTTACAACTGAAAGCCACACTTTACACTTGCTACAATGGCACATCTTCAGAAAGACTGAAATGAGAAAACTTGACACACATAAACAAAAATAAAATATGTATATAAAACACCCACAGGATCTGAAAATGATCCTATGCAAAAGAATTTTAAACATTATAACACAATCATAATTTCAATATGCATGTCTAAAACAAACATTTAAAATTATTCCGACTAAAATACAATGCCTCAACCAAATGCATTAGTGGGTGAGTAAAAGAACTTATTCCCCAGGTCTGGTGCACTATTAGTCTCAAAAATTATTAGTCATACACTTTAATATAATTTCAGTACCCAAGAAGATATTTTAATGTACTATTATTGTCATAAGAATAAAGGATTAGGATTTTAAAATTAACAAACTGTACCATACATGATGATATGTGCCTTAAAAGAGAGAAATGAATCATAATGTGAAAATATAGGGCATCAAAATTATTTCATGATAAATACTAAATACTTCAAACACAAATTACTTCAACTTTGACAACATGATCCGAGGTCTTAGCTCTTTGACTGATGTACATTCAAAACGAAAAGTTACCAGCTCAACATGTGGCCCTTTCCCCGAGTTCTTAGCAACGCCATGCAGTGTCAGAACAGAACTTCCTGATATTTTGAAATGCAGTGTGGTTGTTATGCATTTGTGCACTGTCAGTACTGTAGACTGTATTTATCCATGCCAAGAATCTGCTTTTAAACCCCCATGGAGATGTTTTCCACTAAAGTGAGTATTGTATAACTCAACTGAAGCTCACAGCACATGTCCCACTGAACTAGTGTCACGTGTATCAAGATAATAATTTAATAAAATACAAAATTCATACTATTTTGCAAATCCCTGGAATTCTTGCATAAAATTAACAGAACCACAAACCTTTAATTTTTAAGTGGGAGAGGTAACATATTTAGACTTGCAAAAAAGGAATAAAAATTATGAAAAAAATGATGAATCTCTATGCTTTAAGGTTTTTAAGCTTATGTTAGATAAATTTAGTCCTAAGTGCACTATTCTGTTAGAAAACTATTGATATGAAGGAAAAGCACGGAGTTCTGTCATCAGAACAGACACCTCAAATGCTCAAAAACATATGTGACCTGAATGAATTGGATGTGAAGATGCAGCATACTGTTTAAGTATCGCTATGTGGCCCTCGGTAATAAATGCAGCTAAATAAGCTTCAGTTTTTCTCATATCCATTGCCACGTACATTTTCTTCTACCATTGCAGTCACTAATGTCAAATCTATATGGCAAACTTCTTGTACTTCTTCAAATGCAAATGTTTGTCACTTTGACATCTCCATACTGAATCTGTCTGCGTCGGTTCGACACCTGCTGTACTCCGCAACGGTGATTTTGGCTAGATCTTTTTATGGCTGGTTTTATATAACAGGACAGCAAAAGAGGCAGTCAGCAGTCAAATGATATTCCACTGTTGGAAGGGCTCACTGCTCACAATGCATGCACAATGGACAAATGTTA